GAGCATCCTCATCGGGAGAGCTCGGATGGAGCCAATTAGTGTGGAATTGCTCATCGCCCCGTCCGTCCCTGCGCGGAGGGGATGCTGCCTGCCCCCCGCACACATCAGCTGCAGCCCACGGAGGAAACGACGCCTTTGTGACACAAAGTTTGAGCTCAGCAGAAATCCAAGAGCATCACTAATTGACCGTCTGCCGAGGGGGATTATTACAATTAAGCCAGTCTTCGGAAATTGCAAGTGACAAGTAAAAACACATCCCAAGATCCCCAGTTTTTATACAAGGCGACGGGGAGTTTAACTGCCTTCCCCTTGCAGGCTCCTGCTGGTTGGGTTTTCACGTGGACACCCCGTCTTGAAAGCACGACTCGCACGACTCGTGTTTTTCATCTGTCGTTTCCACTGTTGACCTTGGGCTTGCACCCAAGCAGGGGAGATGGAACCCCTGGCCGTGTGCCGGCACGCACGCTCCTGGCGCCCAACCAAACCCAGCCTCCGGCACCGGGAGGGGAGAGGGGAGGTTTTGTGCCTGCTCCACCTGCTTTGACAACTCCCAGCCCTCCCCCAGGAATGATTCACCTTAACCAGGAAAGGAGAGGCCCCGGGGTGCTGGGAGAGCAGCCGCCCTGTGACTGCCGTGGCACAGCACCTCGGCTGGAAGTGGCCAAGGACCAGGGCAGCCCATCTCCACCAAGGTTCAGGCTGGGTTATCAAGCATCCACATGAGATGTTCGAGACCTTCCGTGCAGCTTGTAGAAACATCTCCATGGTGGAGATGTTTCTACAACATCTCCATCTCCCCAAAAACACTCACCTGGGAGAGCTGCTGCTTGGCAAGATGGAGGAACCCTGGTCCCCAGCTCCATCCCCAGCTGAGACCCATCTCCCACGGCCCCCCACGCTGCATCCACCCTCCCTCCAGCACCCACCTCCCTCCCCGGTGGGTTTGCAGGGAGCGCGAGGGCACCCACAGACCCGGAGATGCTGGAGCTCCAGCTGCAGCTCTGCCCCCGGATTGACGTGGATATTCATCACTCTGTTCCCCTTTTTTTTTTTTCACAGACAAAGGCTCCGGGGGTGGCTGTGTCTGTCGCACACCATAAGTGGCCTATTTTCTTTCCCCGATCACAACACGGCACGACTCCAGGGGTGGGTGGGCGCCAAGCTCACATCTGCTGGGGGGACACTTCTCCTGCACCAGGAGGGAGGGCAGAGAGGAGGAACCGGTGCCGAGCAGCGGGTGACATCCCCACCTACTCGAGCAGCTGCAAGGGGAACCACCTCTGTTGTGGAAGTTACTAAAGTATTGGGCAATTTTATTTTCTTTTTACTTCACACCCTGGAGCACAAAGCAGCCCAGCAGAGCGGGGCCGGGCAGAAGGCACAGGGGAAGGTGCTGACAGCTCCAGAAAGGAGCCAAGGCTTCCAAGACAGAAAGATGTGATGCTAAAGCCCTGCTGAAAGGAATGGGGGCAGAGAAAGAGCAGGGAGGAACGAGGTGAAAGCTCTGATAAAAGCCCCAAAGCCCAAGTCATGCATGCAAACACCACGGGGCAAGGCTGACCCCATGGTGTGAGGTGAGCCCCATAAAAGAGGGGCAGCTCCCATGCCCATGAGGACACCCAGAGCACAGCAAAAGCACATGGGGTCAACAAGACACCTCAACATCACAGAGTCACTTGCATAAGGAGCAATTAATTCTCATTTAAAGGACACACAGCCGTATGAAACCATCCAAGCCCCAAAGGATACTCACCCTCCGCAGCCTCATGGTTTAAGGGATTCTCAAGACAAGGAAGATGCCGGGTTCCTGGTGCTTATCTAGCCGTGTCCTCCCATGCCCTCTCACAGCCCAGACCACCACCCTGTGGCCACCCCGCACCGTGGCCACCCCACACCGTCTCCCCCGTGCCCAGCCCAGGAGCTCCCAGCTGCTCGCCGAACCCTTCAAACCCAACACCCCAACGTGAACACGCAACGCAACAGCGTGTTGCAACACCACATATGGTTGTGACACGGCTGCTAAAAACCTAAATAAGCCGCTCTTCCAGACTGGCCCTCTGCAAATCCTTCCTAATCCAATCTGCTTTATGGCATTAAGTTGGACCCTCCCGCGCTGAACGCCCCTATTTGCACAACAGTTGGGGAAATCCTCTCGTTTCCTCATTCCTGGTTGAATCACCCAGGCAGAGATGGCCAGAGCTTCCTTCTCCTCACTGATGGAAGCATCTAAGGAGGAGGATCCGCCTCATCCTTAGCTTCACACCCCCTGGCACATCCCATGGGTGGGCACATCACCAGCCCTGGCACGGGAAACCATCTCCCCTGCGCTGACTGTAACCCAGCCAAATGCAGCCAGGTGCTGCCAAGCAGCTTCTCCTCTGCCAGGTGTTTCTGTGGTTTAAAACACCGGGTTTTTCTCTGTCTTAGCCAGACGCAAGGGAAGAGCTGGAGGGGACGAGCCCTGTGCTGACCTCCAACTTGCCCCAGTAAATCACAGCTGGCATCCAAGTTACAAAAACGAGCCCGAAAACACAGCAATTTGGCGCATTATTCACACCGAGCAGAAGATGCCAGAGCACACACTCCCCACCGCAGCTTGGTTCGGGCAATGCTCTGCCCTCCCCAGAGCCACCCCACAGCTGGATCCCACCTCAGGGGGACACGACTGCACCACCAGCTGCCGCTTACCTCTGCGCTGAGCAAAGTGGAGCTTGCCGCGGGCTGTCAAAGACACACTCCTCCTTGATGTTAACTTCTTTAGGGAGGAAAAAAGCCTCCCCGGGCTTCTCTCCATTAGCAAACATCTGCCATGGCACGTGTGTTGGAAGGGCTCGGTGAGGGAGGCAGGTGTCAGCAAGTTCGGATGAAGGTGTTATGACCACCCTCAACCCCCTGTAATCTGCAGAGCGCCGAAAAGAGATGCCACAGAAGAGAAAAAGCAGCCGAACCTATTTATAACCCCTTCCCGGGGAGCTGCAGATGGCCAGGCTGACACCAGCTCCAGCAAGAGGAGAAGGGATCCTCTCCCTGTGCTATCCCTACAAATACACCTCTGGCTCCATCCGACACTTGGTACGGGAATAGCCGGAGCCTGGGAGGGTGTTCTGTACCCACCTGGGGAATCTCAATTTAAATAATTCCCCTGAGAGCTGCTCTTCATCCTCTCCCTTCCCACCAGCAGCAGAGCTGGGAGAAATGAAGTGGTTTTGTTCCCTCCCGCCCCAGTGAGTATGGGCCAGGAGGAAACACGGGGCTGCCGGGGGTGCAAAGGTTGTTGCACCAGAGAGCAACAGCTCAGCTTCTGCTCCAGTGGTGGCACGGGGCCGGGGCGGTGGTGAGGACCTCTCTGGGCGGCTTCCGAAGCAGCAGAAGGGGCCTCAGCGTGGCAGGATACGTCTCAGCTTCCACAAACTGTTGGGTTTTCCAGGGAAAGGTGGTGTGGGCAGCCCGATGCTGGGCAAAACCCCGCGGTGCCTCCACCAGCCTCCCCAAAACTCAACGCTGGCATGAGAACAGCTCTCATCTTTGTGCTCCCCTTCCCTTTTCTGGCTCATTTTCTAGAAAGGGTAACAAGCACCGTGGTTATCACCTCCAACGTGCCGTCCAACCCTGGAAGAGCGTGGTCCTCCATCGTCACCCCACACAGGGGAGCGAGGAGCCCATGGCAGCCCCACAGTCCCCATTCAGACATGAGCAGGGGATGCTCAGGAGGTGCTGGTGGCCACAGCACCAAAGGGAAGGTCACGGGCAAGATGGTGCAGACAACTCAAGCCCAGCAACACGGATGCTGAGGGCACAAGAGGACCAAGTCCTATTTTCCTGCTTTTATTTCCAAATCCTGATGAAGATGCAGATTCCCAAGCAGGCCACCTCACCCATCCTCTCCTGAGGACCCCGCTTTGGTGTAACCTCCCTAGTCTCATAATCTTCTTTCCCAAGGGTCAGCTGATTTAACTTCAACATTGCCAGCATCCTCTGCAGCCCTTGATGTGCAGCCTGGCACGTTGGGCATCACCATCAACCTTCCCCATCAGCAGCACATGGTGCCCAGCAGCGAGCGGGCAGGGACAAGGAGGATGAAAGACCCGTTGCATTTCCAGCCAGGAAATCACTCCATCCCTAGGGAATCCCATCCCTAATTATTTTGCATTAAGAGCCTCCAAATTCATGAGCACGATAACCAAGAAGAGGAGAAAAGCAATTAAATTAACTCCAGGAGCCACGAAAGGCAGCTCTCCCTCGTGGTCCTGCGGCTCTCCATGACACAGTGTGCTCCTTGGGATGGGATGGGATAGGATGGGATGCCACGCCAGCCAGCATCACCCCCAGGTGACTATTTCTTAACACGTACCAAATCTACAAGGACAAAACTCATTTTGCACACCCCCACCAAAGCCGCTTCCCCAGCAAAACCCGTCACGCTCTCTCGAAGGGCTTTGTGCAATGTAATTTCCTTTCCAGTTACAACAGCCAGCCGTGACTCTCGGCTCTCTGTTTGTGTAAAGCTCTATCACATGCCGGATAACAGCCCAACAAGGAATTTATAAATATAGTCTTTTGAGGCAGTAATTGTCACTCCAGCCATCTGTTAAAACGAAGAGCGCGAGGCAGCAGCACGGCAGAGGTAAAAATACAGGGGGAAGCGTGGCAGCGGTGCCAGGGATGAGCCTGTGAGGGGGAGCAGGGGAGATGCTGTGATTTGGGATCCCCAGGGGAGCTGCGTTTCATCTTTGGCCATTGCTCCATCCTGCTCACACTCTGAAAAAACGCCCCATTTCCAAACTACATCAAATTTGCCAACTTTCACCATTCCACACCTTCTTTTTTGCCACGTGGGGTGCAGGCCAGCACCCAATATTGTCTTCCAGCAGATTCCGGCAGCTGTGCCAGGTGGGATTAGCCGTGCCACAGAGGGATGCCCACCCTCCGGGAGTACCGAGGGGCTGGTCCAGCCCCACCATGCTCCCCGGGGAGCCCCGAAGCACCGATTTACTTTTTACCTTCAACCCAGGGACGCCGGCTCCCCGGGGCTGCTCCTTCCAGCGGGTGAGAAGCTTCTGGCAGAAGGCGATGCCCGGCGTGCCCCGGCGAGGATGGCGTTACGGGCACAGCTTTGTAAGCACGTACCGGTGCACGATGATTAATTAAAGCTCCGACTGTCAAAATCAAAGATAAACAGGGTGAGCCAGTGACACATCCAGTGCTTTCCCCTCTCCCCGGGTGCCGATGCGCCCCCAGAGCCGGGATGGGAGCTCCCGAAGGGGCTGCTTGCCGAAACGCCGCCCTGGGCAGTGCCGGGGCAGGACTGGAAAGACCTGTTGCTGCTCACACTGCCGGGGCCAGGAGGAGAGGTGTGTCGGAGGCCAGGGAAGCCGGTATCACCGCCTCCCGCACCATCACCAACACTCCTGTGCTTGGCAAAGGGTGGGAGACACGTTAGCAGCCGGCGACAGGGGCAAATGGATGCATCCCATAGCCCACGCGACCCCCTGTGGGGCTGCAAAAGGAATATACCCTTTTAATTCTGCCCTTGCATAAGGCTGGGGATCCCTGACCCATGGCCAGGACCCCCAGATGCTCGAGGAGTAACTCCCCCCATCCCAAATCCAGAGTCGGTGGGATGCCCCGAGGCAGTTGCCCCTGTGCCCTTGTGCCCCATCTCCCACTGCTTCGACTGCAGCACAAAGTGCCTGCAAACCAGCTCAGCCTGGGGGGGGGAAAGAAAAAAGAAAAGAAAAAAAAGAAAAAAAAAAAAAAGGCAGCTTTATTTCTCCCTGACATTTAATAACCTTTATTGTCCTCTGAGCGGTGGTTTCCCATCCCAAGAGCCAGCAGCACGGCTGATCTTCCTCCAGGCTGGAAAGGCTTTAAAGCCCAGCAGCCGCCCCGTCTCCCCACCCCCCATCAACAGCCAGAAACCCCCGAAAGGTTCAAAAGGCACAAAACAGAAGGAAACGCCGTGGGAAGCAGCAGCCCTGAATAGCGGGGCCAGGCTGGCTCCTCTGGAACTCACTGCAAACCCCACATCCCCTGCCACCTCCCACTGCATTTCCTGGGCTGCTCCGGTTAATTTTCGGCCCTGAGCTCCTACAAAAGGTGCCGGGGCCACAACAGGGCACCCAACCCATCGGCTGTGGTAGTCACTAGGCGAGGGGGAGAGCCGCCGCCAACTCGCAGGAGGCAGGAGAAGGAATTAATGGTGCTGCAATCCCCACTGCCTCCGTCATTAGGGAAAAGAAAACGCATTCGAGCATCCTCACTCGAGTGCACAGTGTAATTTCTTTCAAGTTTTATGTCATCCTCCTTCCCGGAGATGGGCTGAAGCTGGGAAAAGTCTCTGGTTTTATCAGCCGCGCTTCGGGGCAGACACAAGGGAAAGGAAGGGATTTGCAGAGACTTGTATAAAGTAGGAAAAATAAAAATAAAATTATCTAAACCTGTGTGGTGTTGGTGCTGCAAGAGGCGATCGGCCACCAAACTGTTATTATCACCTGGAGCTGCTTGCTAATAAAATAGCTAATTAGCTCAACATTTAATGTATTTTATGGAGGGTGTCAGTGAGGTTTCTCCAACCCACCAAACTCTGCACCACTTAAACCAGCCAGCATCCCTGCGCAGACCAGCAGCGTCACCTCCCCTGAGGGCAGGAGTTTTGGGGCAGAAGAGGGATGGGAGAATCCCAGTTTTCCCTGGGATTTAACCCTCTCCCTGAGCCCTGGGCTCTGCAGGAGGAGGTTGGGAATTTCCCCAGCCTGGTTCATGGCGTTTCCTCCTCCTCCTCGGGGCCCAGTGTTTGCGCAGGCGGCTCCCGACGTTTCCTCCTCCCGGTGCTGGGAAAGGGCCACCCTCACCCCCCGGAGAAGCTCCAGGGGAGCAGCCTGGCCGGGATATCAGCACCCACCACCCCCCAGCCTCATAAACCAGCACTAATTAAGGCACCGCATCTCCCTCCCCCCAAAAAATTCCACTGAGCTCCCCTGCACCTTCTGCTCCCGCTTTTTAATCCCAGAGGACGCCGGCGGCGTCACTCTATGTAACTCAAATCAGGTCTCCAGGTGCTGCCAGAAGAGAGAAATAATAAAATACACACCTGGGGGTCCCAACGGCAGCAAAAATCGCTGGGCATTTTTTCCTCCAGGGCTGGAACAAGGAAGAGATAAACCACGCTTGCTCCGGAGCGCAGGCAAACAACAGCTTATCGCCGCGTTCACAGCCCCAAGGCTATCGCGCGGCTTCAGGAAAAGTATTATTCCCCTGCGCTGGCAGGAAAGTGTCTATTTTTGGCCCCTCTTGTCTCACCGAGCCGCTGCCTTCACCCGCACCGGGCTGGGAAACCGGCCAGCCCCCGAACCCCGAGGGATCCCCAAGAAACCTGTTCCCTCCACGGCTGCCAAACTCACCAGTAAATGGCTAAACTTTTGGCAAAACAGAGATAGTTTTTGTTAAAACTTGCAGTTCATCTTGGTTCGGAATTGGCACTTTTTTTTCCCCCCCTTGAAATAGCTGATTTCTTGGGAGATCTCCCCCGGGGGAGACCCAACACATCATCAGCCTGTAGGCATTGTCACCGACAGCCCAAATTTGCCCAGGGAGTTTAACTGGGGTGGCTAAAAAGCATCTCACCTGCAGATGCCAAGGGGCATGGGCTGGGGGGACGCTGTGAGCCTGGGCTGGCAGCAGCAGGGAGGCTGCTGGGGAGGCTGTCCCAGGAGAGCGGGCACCAGTTTGGGGATGTTTTGATGCTGGGGAGGGTCCAACCAAGGCTGTCAGAGGGTTTGGGGCTGGCATTGGCACCCCAGGGGATGGAGATGCCCAAAGGACAGATGCAAAAGGGCAGAGGCAGATTCTGTGCTGGAGTTTGCAATGACACTTTGTGGAGGGGGGGAGCAGGGGGAGGATGTCAGGGTGGAAAATGGTGGATTCTCACTCCTTGTGGCAACAGAAAAAGCCACAGATGATCTTACCCAGTGCTGGTGACAGCCCTGCATGGCGGGCAAGAGGCCGCCAGGTCCCTCTGCCAACACATCTGTGATGCCCTCCTCCCTGCACCACAGTTTTCCTCGGCCAGAGAGAATAAATACATTCATTTTATCTCTCCACTGGTTCCACTTCCCAGCTCTCATCAGCAAGCCCTGGTCACAGAGCTGCCACCGACACCGCGGCAGTGCCCGGATCCAAACACTAAATACATTGAAAAGGAACATTTTTGATAATTACCTTCTGTAGAACCGTGGGATCTGTAATTGAGGGTGAAATTACGTCCGGGGTGCATTTCAGTACTGAAAATAGCATGATAAATTAGCTCAGCTTTTTCCTGGTTGACTCAGCTAATCCTTCCGACGCCGACAGACAGATTTGATTGTATCATCTCTCCTTGGGCTCAGTAAACACCAAGGCCAAGTCGTGGCAGCTGCAGCAGATACATACAGAGTCGCTGCCTGCAATATATAATCTGCCCTTCTTTCTGAACGCAGCGCGGCTCGGCAGCGGAGCTGAGCAGAGGTCGCTCCCGCTCCTGTTTTGATTTATGAATATGGATTTTGGTGGTTAAGCCATTAGGAGCGGTGATGAAGCGATTCAGCGTGCAGCCTGAACTGCTGCTTGCCTCATTTGAAGCCTGCTCTGCAGAACGTTCTCCCTTGTTTTCCCCCTGCAACACCGTTCATGCAGAGAAGATTATATTAAGGCTTTGTCTGTAAAGCTGTAATTCCACCTCGCCGCCCTGAGCCCTCTCCTGGGCGAAACAGCCCAGCTGCAGGCATGGAAGGGGCTGCAAAAGGAGATGGCAGAGGGCTCGCACCCATCCCCAGCAGGAGAAGCTGAGATCCTGCCCAAGAGGCTTAAAGAAAAGCACTAGATCTGCTGAGACCCCAGCTGGGACCCTGCTCTGGCTGCTTGTCATGCTGCCCCAACACCTCCATCTACCCCAGAGGAGTCAGGGATGCCCCCAGTGGGGTTAAGCTGGGATGGGGGTGACCCATCCTGTCCTGCTCACACCTTCCCGGGGCTAATTGGATGCCCCATCACTGGAGGTGTTCAAGGCCAGGTTGGATGGGGCTTTGAGCAACCTGCTCTAGTGGAAGGTGTCCCTGCCCATGGCAGGGGGGTTAGAACTCGATGATCTTTAAGGTCCCTTCCAACAGAACCATTCTGTGACTCTAAAGGCTGCAGAGCAGAGTTAACATCACGGCCATGGCTCGCTGAGCGGCCCAGCATCGCTCCCCCAGCGAAGCCCAAACCGGTTTAGATCCCTTTTCCAAGGTCGTATTCCCCGTTCCCGGGTCAGCACGTCCCAGCCCTGTTCCCCGGGGCTTTGTACGGCTGAGAAACGGGCTGTGCCCGGGAGGCCTCGCTCTGCAATTAGAGAAAACAAAGAGGGAGATGGGAATTGTCCATACAGCACGGCAGCGAGGGCCGGGCACAGCCTCCTCCTCCTCCTCCTCCTCCTCCGCCTGGCTCCCAGCTGGCTGCCGGCTCCAAGCTGTATTTTTCCCCATCCCTGCAATATCTGCTTGTTTTGGAGAGGAGCAGGCTCCCCCCCCTGCCCCCCCGGGCTGGTGATTGCCTCCAGCTGCCCTCCTCTCAGGCACTGAGGGCCAACTTGGCACCTTCTCCCTAACGAACCAGCACAAGCCAAGATGTGGTCGTGGATGAAACAATCGCGTTACAGGCTCAGGAGCCTTTGGGGAGGGTCCCAGGGAGGGCAGGTTTCCCCTTTCCCAGCAGAAAGTGGCACAAATAACCATCCCAGCCTCTCTCTCCCCTTCCAGAGTGGCAGAAAATTAAATTTCCACATTACTTATTCGTGCAACTCACGGAAACTCCTAAATGGAGCGGATCAGTGGCGGCCATCGAGCGCCGTCGCTTGCCAGCCCGTCCCCTCCTCGTTTGTTTTTAATTAGCAAGCAACACGCAGGGGGCTGAGCTGGGCAGCCCTAGGGCTGCTGATAAAGGGACAAATAACGGAGCTCATCTCCTCCTCCGGTAGGGATTAGGGGACACCAGGCAGTTGGCTGCAAATCACCCCCCTAATATGCTGGGAGCAAGGGTGGGATAAAGGCAGTGGAGCAGGTAACGAGGTCACCGCCGAGAAGGACACTCACTCAGGTATTACAGTAACGAGGATTGAGGGATGCAGGGTCACAGGAGGCTCCTCGGGAAGGGAGGTGAGCACACCAGCCAGGGTGAGCTGCAAGACCTGCCCCAGCCAGGGGGTAATTCGGGTCCCCAGGGGTGAAGCAAGGGATGAGGAGGTGAGAAAAAGCCCCCTGGAGAAGCCAGCCATGAGAAAAACAGCACGGAGAGAGGTGAGGCAGGAAGGGGAGTGAATTTGCATATAAATTTAAAGCAGTCGCATCCTCCATGGCTCAGGGGAGGTGGGAAATGTTCACAGTGGCTACAGTGGGCTTGGGTTGTCCCCTGGGTAGGAGTGACAGCCTGAAAGAGCTGATGAGAACCAGTTTGCTTGAGACCTGGTGGAGAAGGGTGGATGGTGACAGGAGAAGGGTGGGTGAGAAGGGTGACAGCACGTCATGGGTGAGCAGGAAAGATGCTCCAGCTCGGATCTCTCCCAGCATGACCCCAGAGAAGCCCACAAGCCCTACTGGGAGACCCAGTCCCAGCAGGAACAATGCTGTCCCTCCAGCCTGGTCCCAGCCTGCACAGGGGGGATGCTGGGGCCACCAACAGCTTGGACTGATGGACAGTGGGACAGAGCACGCGGTGACAGAGCAGGACGCAGGGAAGGAAGCGCATCAGGTCGGCTAACGAGCTGCTTATTGAATAATTCAGAGGGAACTGATGGCTGGTGGCCACAGGCTCCCGTTGCTCTCTCTGCCCTTCATATGGGTGTTCTGTTTCACCTCGTGCTGTGTCCCCAGAGAGATCAGCCCTTCCTTACCCACCTCAACCCTTGCCACCCGTTTTTGGTGGCAGAAACCACCGTCCCCACATCTCCCCAGGCCACCCATCCTCCAGGTGTGGCTGCTGGCAAACCCACACACCAGGGCCCCTTTCTAGCCCCCCCCAACCATGGCACTATCACAGAGAAGGTGCACAAGGCTGGTGCAGACACGGAGGGCAGTGGTAGAGCATCCTGGCGGTGCTGCCACCCAGTCCCCTGGGGTGCCCAGGTCCCACGGGTGCCCCCCAAGGCTTCTCACCTCATCCTGGGGATGTTCCAGCAGTCTTGAGTCCCGAAGGTGCTTGGTCCCAAGTCTCAGGTTGCTGGGGTGCTGGTCCCATAAGTGTTATCTGTGCCCATGGGTGTGCATGGTCCCACGAGTGTCCATGCCCATGTGGGTGCCAGTCCCACAAGTGTCTGTGCCCATTCCCATGGGTGCGGATGGTCCCATGAGTGTCTGTTCCCGTGGAGGTGATGATCCCACAAGTGCCCATTTCCATGGGGGTGGCGGTCCCACAAGTGCCCGTGGTCCTATGTATACCCATGATCCCACCAGTGCCCATTCCCGTGGGGGTGCCAGTCCCACGGGTGTCCATGGCCTCACGAGGGCCCGTTCCCATGTGGATGCTGGTCCCACGGGTGTCTGTAGCCCCACCAGTGCCCGTTCCCGTGGGGGTGCCGGTCCCAGGGGTGTCCGTAGCCCCACCAGTGCCCGTTCCCGTTGGGGTGCCGGTCCCACGTGTGTCCGTGGCCCCACCGGTGCCCGTGCCCTGTCTCCGGGCGCCCCCTGGCGGTCGCGCCGCGCCACAGCCCCGCCCCGCAGCGACCCTTCTGGGCAGCGGCTGCCGCGGCGCCCCTCCGGCCCCGGAGAGGGGGGACTCCCCAGGCGGGGTCTACGAGGGACGCGGTGACATTAAAGCCGGGTCCCCAGGGCACAGCCAGACGCGTCGGGAGCCAGGCACAGAGAGCATCAGGCGGGTCCGATGCTCATTAATTACGGCAAGAAGGCGTCGGGGGAATGGCAGCGTGCAAGCCGAAGGGTGACAACTCCAAGGAACCAAAGAAAGAGCTCAGGCATCTTTAATTAGCCACGGAGAGCTTGCCACTAATTAACCTTTTCCACTGGGAAGAGGAGGAAGCGGGGTGAGCAAAGCACACACCAAATTAGTCATCCTCCTCCCAGCCCACGCAGCGGGGAGGGATGCTGAGAGGAAAGGGCAGACCCAAAACAGCCTAACATTTCCCCATTTTGGTGCCTCTGAAGGTTTGGAAACTGGGAAACAGCAGCCCTCGGATCAAGAATGATCCTCCCTCTTTTCCCTGGTCCCCAGACTCAACACAGGGACTTCCCAGCCTGTGGGTCTGTCCCCCTCCATCCCCTCCTGCAGCAGGAGGGAGGGCAGAGGGTGCCCCCCTCTCACAGGGGGAAAGAGCTCAGGGTGAAACAAGTGACTGATAAGCAGAAAAAGTGAAAAAGTGAAAAATTCCAGCCCTCCCAACCATGAGAGTGAATAAAAGCCTCTGTCCCAGCCCATTCCTGCTGGATGAGGGATGGAGAGAGAGCACCAGATGGTGTTTGACACAGCTCACGGGTGCTGATGCCCTGGATGAGGGTACACAACACCTGGACCACACTCCACGGGGCTGGTGGGGCTGGTCAGTCAGCCTGAGGCTCCAGACCTGCCTCTCCCAACAGCCAGAAATAACACAAGTGTTGGGCAGAAAGGTCCAAATATCACACCAAGAGGGAACAGCACAACCTGATGTTGCTCTCACATCCCGTCCTCACCCCAGGGTAAGGTCTCCAGCTGCCAGGAGCTGGGCTCACACAAGGAACTGATTTTCAGGCACGTACGTGGCAGCATGAAGGAGGGAGAGCCACCTTCCTTCCCAGCTGGAGCCAACAGACCTCTGACTCCACGTGAAGGCACCAAAGCCTTGTGGTTTTTAGAAACGAGCCAAGGAGGAAGAAGCAGCGTCACCACCAACGGCAGCGGTGGAGCAGAAACACAGCCCTGAGACTGACCCAGCTGCAAACAGTCCCCAAGCCAGTGTGGGACGTGGCTGTTCACAAGTGTGTTCTCAGAGAAGGAAAAAACTTACCCTTGCGTGGCCTCAGTTTCCAAGCTGACACCTACAGGGACAACCCCCAGCCTGTTCCACAGTTACCCGGCCGTGACACTCGAGACTTCACCCCTCGCAGATGGAAAAAGCAGTTCATCCATCACCAAGCCAGGAGGAAGAACCCACCTGCTGAGGAACATCTCTGCCAGGTCACAGATACCTCCTCACTCCTTCACAGGAGGTGAGGGAGGCTCAGCCCTCCCCTGCCTTGCTCCTCTCCAGGAGGCGTTAAGCTGCCCAGCACCCAACCTTCACATCTCTGAGGTTTTTTTGGAAGGAGAGGGTGACAAGCCAGCATTTGGGAGGCGCGTGTGGTTGGTATCCAGAAATGCTGCCACTTGAGAAATTACATTTGT